CAAGACCAAAACTGGGATAGGTTAAAAGTTAGGATTTTTTTAGGTTGCTCAGTGAACTCGGGACCTTTTGGTGTGTATTTTATGTTTGTTTCTAGTTGATGATGCGGGTGGATTTAGATAAGATATACATTCCTGGGATGGAACTGGGGTGGGCTTTGGATGAGAACTCTAATGTGAATGTTACAATCTTTCATATTCATTGGTCATTCTCTTGCTCATTTTGTTTTTAAAATTTTAATTTATGCTTCTGCTTGCTATGTTCTGTTAATACATTTTTTATCCCTTTTGATGAGAAGTTTTGTTAACACTTGGTCCAGGTATTGGGTATGCCTTGGCTAAAGAATTCCTAAAAGCAGGTGACAATGTTGTCATTTGCTCAAGATCAGGTAAGCTATTTTAAGAGCTCTTACATCAAATTTTATTCTATTTATTGTTACTGATTATAAGATGATTTTGGTGAAAGTGTTAACTAAATCTTTGACAGCTGAAAGAGTAGAATCTGCTGTTCAGAGCCTTGGGGAAGAATTTGGGGAGCAGCATGTGTGGGTACCTCCGTTGAGACTTTTTTTGGGGTGGGGGCTGGGCCTACGTTCCAAATTCTTCTGTTTTTCTCATGCATCATTTTTATTGGGTTTAGCTCTTCATATTTCAAATAGCTAGTTTATTTCATGCATATCGCAGGGTACAAAGTGTGACGTTAGAGAAGCTCAGGATGTGAAGGAATTGGTTGCATTTGCACAACAAAACGTGAAGCACATTGATATATGGGTATTATGTCTTATTCTGATCTTTTTGCTCATCCTCCAAAATGTTTCCTTTTCCCAAAATTTCCATCTTTTGATCTATTAGATTTAAATCAATATGTTATCTTCTTAAACATTTACTTAATTGAAGATTCTTCTCACTTGTACCATGTTATCCTATCTTGAGAAACTATACAGATCAATAATGCCGGTTCAAATGCATATAGTTACAAACCATTGGCAGAAGCTTCAGATGAAGATCTTCTGTGAGCTTCTATATATCTCTCAACCTGTTCTTTTGGCCCATAATTTTTTTTTTTTTTTACTTTGACCATATTTATGCAGTGAAGTTGTAACGACAAACACTCTTGGGTTGATGATATGTTGCCGAGAGGTATATCAGTTTCTTTCTTCTTGCTTGGTGTGGTCTAGATCTTGCCTGATGCATGGATGTTGCTTAGGCAATAAAGATGATGCTATACCAGTCTCGAGGGGGCCATATTTTTAACATTGATGGAGCAGGTTCAGATGGAAGACCAACCCCCCGGTACAGACCTATAAACACTGCTCATTAGCTAATACTTTTCTCAATAGATTGATTGGTGGTTCTTTGTCTGCTCTTCTAACATTCATTTCTCCATAGATTTGCAGCATATGGGGCAACAAAACGTAGTGTGGTACATTTGACCAAATCATTACAGGTAATGGTGAGCTTTTTTGGATAGTGTATAAAACAACGGTGTGTGCTGGCTTACATACACAAATTATGTTTGTGGGTAAGAAAGTTCTACATATGGCCATAATTCAATTCTCCATCCTCCTCTTGTAGTCCGAAATGTATTCTATTCAAGAAACATATTTTACTTTATCCTCAATTTTTCTGACTTCTCTATTTGATGTAATTACATAAGACTAAAATGAACATTTTTCTTTTCTTAAACTCACCATTGAAATCAGCCCTTCTCTTCTTAAGCGTAACCATTTTTATACAATTCTCTCTCTCTCTCTGGCATTTTCTTTTAATGTTTAATGCAAGGTTCTTTGGATCATTTTGCAGGCAGAGCTGCAGATGCAAGAGGTTAAAAATGTTGTAGTGCATAATCTATCGGTATGTTTAGGGCGTGTTATATCAAACAATACATTCAGAATTTTTTTCTGTTATTTTGCATTTCTTTAATCTACTTGAGATTTTCTGTTTGGTGTTTCAGCCAGGAATGGTAACAACTGATCTTCTCATGTCTGGTGCTACCACAAAGCAGGTTAACTATACATCACATATTTGCATGATCTTCTCATGTCTGATCTTCTTCTGTTACCTATATTTGAGCTCAAACTTTGAAAAAAAATTGAACTTTGCTGGTCATTGCAGGCCAAGTTTTTCATTAATGTCCTAGCAGAACCAGCTGAAGTGGTAAGAAATTTGTTTGTCCTTTTAAGAGCAATGACATACGAGCTTCTTATTATGTTATCTATTTTTTGTTTCACTGATGTGTTGAGGAACATAAAACTTAATAACTTAATTGAATAACTGGAAAAATAGGACAAACTGAAACTGTCATTGAATTAGCAGAAGCATGAGATTAAGCAGTAAGAAACATGTTTTTTTTGGCCTCCAGGAAGAACCATGTTAAATGTCTTCATTCACAAATCTTCTTTTACCATTCTGTTTTTTTTTGTTGGGGACGGGATTCGTTTGACAGGTTGCAGAATACCTGGTTCCGAACATAAGGTCTATCCCTACCAATGGATCATGGAAACCCACTTATATCCGATTCCTCACTGGAATAAAAGCCTACTCCCAGATATTTTCAGTTAAGTGAAAAATTCTCCTCACACTTTGACTTAAACAACTTGATCTCAGATTATTTGGATAAATCTATCTGAAAGTCTTTCTGTAAGAAAATTAGCAGATATTCACTATATTTATTTGTTTTTTACTCCCTGAATGATACAGAGACTCGCATTTGGTGCAAGAAGAAACAGATATGTGCTAGAAGATTGATGTGCATTGGAGATCAGAATATGAAATTCATGCTGCCACTTCCCTCTCTTCTATATTGTAGAATTAGTAGTCTTAGGTTAGTCTCATTAATCTAACTGCACTGCCTTTTGTTATATTTCCATTACCGGAGAAATAAGATCAGCAGTTCATGTTTTCCAGGAGAATAACAATGAACACTCTGAACAGTTTTTTCAGTATCTGTCTGGGATCTAGTTGCTGGTACTTGATATATAATCTCCATTCAGTCATTGAACTTTCTTTCCAAAATTAAAACATTCAACAAAACCCTGATTTACTTGGTTATGGTGGACTCAACCCGTGACAGAATCGTGGCGTGTGAACATTATGTATTTAACTTCTAGCTCAAAAAAGACAGAAAGGTTTTCTGTCTGTATCATTCAGTCACAACCATCCTTTCGGTTTTGGGACGTTTTCTCTGAATCTCAGAGGAAAAAGAAAAAGTTGATCAGAAAAGTGCCCTTTTATTTTCTCCCCGTGAATGCTGTGGACCCATCTTCCTCTGTCCTTAATCATATTCTGATGACAACACCTGTTTGATTGTCAAGAAAATTAATGAAACAAAATTTGCTGTCAATTTGTCAGAAAAAGATGATACATACACTACGGAAAAGGGTTAGAAAATCAAGACCCTTCCCTATTTCCTACGCTGATATAAATGAGTCTGCATCTTACATTCCTATATATCTGTGCACTTTTTGTCTCATTTTCCAGTTTTATTAAATGTAATCACCAATATTTTTTTTTTTTTTGAACAATTTGTAAGGGCGGACTCGAATCCGCCAAGGGGAGAGGAGTGCACCACTGCACCGATAAGATACCACTTAACCCGTAGAACCTGGTGCAAATGTAATCACCAATACTTATCAAAAAAAAATAAATAAATAAAATTGTAATCACCAATAGCGCATTTAAGATTCTTCATTTATGTGATTAAAAGTTCACAACCCTATTAAACCCGTGTAGAAGCACAATCCGCCTTGGCAAATTTTCTGATTGTTTCCATGGAAAAGCATGTTCTTCTCTTCTTAACGGTGCATTTTCTTTCTTTACATTTCTCAAACCAGATGCTGCAACCCTTCGAATCTCAGGCTCTTCTGAGTATCCAGCAGCTTCTTAACTACCCATCAGCTCTAAGCAGTTTTAACTACAGCACCTTGGATTTCTGCAGCATTGAACCAACACCATCTCTGACACTGGTTTGCTATGAAGATAATCTGACCCAGCTGCACATTTTAGGCAAAAATGCGGTTCCTCTATTGCCTCAAAACTTCTCCATTGATTATTTATTTGCAACTCTTGGCAGATTTTCAAGCTTGAAAGTTATGTCTTTGGTTTCCCTAGGGCTGCGGGGGGAACTTCCTGGCAATATTGCTCGGTTATCTTCACTGGAAATACTCAATCTGAGTTCAAACTACTTCAGTGGCTCCATCCCTTCAGAACTTTCTTCTCTGAGGAACCTCCAGACTCTCATTCTAGACCATAACAGCTTCACCGGTCAGGTCTCTAGTTGGCTCAGCTCTCTGCATTCTTTATCTGTTTTTAGTGTCAAGAACAATTCCCTAGATGGGTCTCTCCCAGATTCCATTGCAACCTTGCAGAATCTCCGGATCCTCATTGTCTCTGGTAACCAGTTATCTGGAGAAGTTCCTGATCTTCAGAACTTGACAAACCTTCAAGTTCTTGACCTAGAAGACAACCATTTTGGACCTCATTTTCCTAGTCTGCAAAACAAGGTGCTCACTCTTGTACTCAAAAACAACAGCTTTCAGTCTGGGATTCCTCCTGAATTAGGCTTCTTTTATCAGCTTCAGAAGCTAGATATTTCCTTGAATGGATTTGTAGGACCATTTCTTCCATCCCTGTTGGCATTGCCTGCAATTAATTATCTTGATATCTCTGGAAATAAACTGACAGGAAGACTCTTCTTGAACATGTCCTGCAATCCTGAACTAGCCTTTGTAAATTTATCCACAAATTTCTTAACTGGAAATTTACCTACATGTCTGCAATCAACCTCTTCGAAAAGGGTTATTCTGTACGCTAGCAATTGCTTATCTGATGAAGAACGGGAGCAGGGGCAGGAGCAGCATCCTTCCGAACTCTGCCACAATGAAGCTTTGGCTGTGAAGATTTTGCCTGATTTGCAGAAGAATAAGAGACATGATGCAAAGGCAGTTCTTGCATCAAGTATAATAGGAGGGATTGGGGTGACAACAATAATTGTCTATCTGGTTTCCTGGATTTTGCAGAGAAAAAACTGCAGGAATACTTTGAGGAAGAGTCCTTCCACAAGGTTGATAATCAATAAAGTGTCAGCAGTTAACACTGCCAAACTGCTATCTGATGCAAGTAAGATCCACCTTTCCCTTCCTCTCCTTTCTTCTTCTTTTCTGTATACGACATATGATAGTAATTCTTCTTCGTCTTCATTATTATTATTATTTTTCATTGCAGGGTATATATCAGAAACAATGAAAATGGGAGCAAATCTTCCTCCTTATCGGACATTTGCTTTGGAGGAACTTAAGAACACAACGAATAACTTTGATCCTTCAAGTTTGATGGATGACTATCAGACTTATAGAGGGGAGCTCAAAGATGGCACTCTGGTTGCCATGAGAAGCTTAAAAATGAAAAAGAGAAGCAGGATCACATATACCCACCATATTGAGCTGGTATCAAAACTCAGACATACCCATTTGGCCAGTGCTCTTGGACACTGCTTTGAATGCTGCCTTGATGATTCTTCAACCATTGGCTTAGCATATCTAATATTTGAGTATGTCTCAAATTGCACGCTAAGAGACTGCATCTCTGGTAAAGTGATTTTCCATGTCATCTTTACAGTACCTGTGTTCGTATCTGTATTGAAATAGTTTAGTTTGTCAGGAGTGTTGGAACAGAGACTCTCTTGGACACAGAGGATAGCTGCAGCAATTGGTGTCACAAAGGGCATTCAGTTCCTTCATACAGGGATTGTTCCTGGGGTATTTTCAAATAATCTGAAGATCACAGATGTTTTAGTCGATCAGAATCTTCGTGTAAAGATCAGAAGTTATAACCTTCCTCTTATAACAGAAAACTGGGGAACGGTATGAATAAAGCCCCTTTTTTCCCTGTACATATCCTTTTATCCACATCAATTCTTTAAGCTAATAGCTCTTCTGCATCCATTTCAGGTGGGTGCGAGGGTTTGTTATCAAGAATCAAAAGCAAATACTCAACCGAGGTGCAGAATTATGTCTTCCCGTTTAGTTTATCAATGTCTTAATCCTGAGATAACGACCGCATGACATCTTCTATGTGTAAATGCAGGGAAAATCATAAGGACAAGAATGATGTTTATGACATGGGAGTAATCTTACTTGAAATGATTGTTGGAAGGACAATCATGTCTGAAAATGATGTTGAAGTCACAAAGGATATTGTGAGTTTTTCTGGTTCTCCTAACCTGTTATATTTTCCAGTTCCTTGAAAGTCCAATATAGCATTAACTGAAGCTCTCCTGCAGTTACAAGTAAGCCTTACCATGGATGATACAGCTCGAAGAAGTATAGCTGATCCAAAAATTGTGAAGGAATGCTCAGCTGAATCATTGAAGATAGCAATGGAATTATGTCTAAGGTGTCTGTCCAATGAACCAGCTGACAGGCCTTCTGTTGAAGATGTTCTTTGGAACATGCAGTTTGCAGCACAGCTTCAGGATTCTCCAAGAGGTGACTCCCAGAACTCTCTGTAGCCACCTTCCCAGGCTGATCTTCCGAACAAATGTAACATCAACAATATCCATTTAATTGCAAAATCATGATCTGTATATCCACAAAGCAGATTCAACAAGGTTGTCTGTACTTCTCTTTCGAGTTTTGACAATTGGTGTTTTTCTTTATGGATTTGGGGAAATGAAAAATTGGTTTCCTTGGGACGAGGATGCAGTATTGATTTCTGCCATCAAACACCATGAAACAAATTGATTTTGGTCGATTTCTTTCACAGATGCCCCAACATCACTCCCATATAGATTGCCAAGGAAAGGCAACAAAAATGTGCTATTTAACTTTTCCATTGTGACACCCATGTATTGATGTATATATGGTTTTCTTTGTTCTGCAAAAAATGCTAATTTACATTTGATAATTTTATAGAATACAACAAATATGAAACACAACCTAAAGAGTAATAAACTCTCTATCCTTTGGATATCCGACAATGAAAATCCAGCCATCATGAGTAATGATACCCTGGTGAGGCCTAAAGAATGCCATACTTCACAAAAAAGAAGAAAAAATGTGAAAGAACAAACCACCTTTCATCTCCTGGGAGGATCCAAGATTTAGTTCATTTCTATTTCTACAGCTCCTAACTCTCCCTGATTTCCCAACTTCTCTGTCTCCCTCGCAATCTGAACGTCACAAGGTCTGTAGTATTGATAGAGAACTTTTATGACAAAACGAGGAATCAATGCAGACACAACAATGACAAGCAAACACAACCAAAACAACCTTGTCTTCCCAATGTGAAAGATGGCCCTGTCAAATTATAACAAAGCACCGAGGATCAGAAAAAAATATACAATAGAAATTGTTGAAATTTCATATGGAAACAAAACTAAACTTCCTATTGTCACAAAATAGAAGAGCAATTGAACTTGAAGTGTGCTAGCCAGCATGGTACTTCTCTAAGCACAGCTGTTGGAAATATCAGGAGTAATCAGTACTTAACGCAGACCCTACGTACAATAATTTTGAAAGGAACTGGATAGAAAAATAGAATCAGGGTCATGCTTAAGATTGTCACTGGAAAGAAATACACAAAATTGTGCAAGGAAAAATTCAGATGTTAATATAGGTGAAGAAAAGGAGACATACCAGTAACCAGGTAAAATTGGTAAAGCATCAATGATGACAACACAAACAAAACTGACAATTATAGATCCCCAAATGGCTGCATGACTAATCCAATTCCATCGAATAACATCCATAGCCAAGTGTAGATTAACCAATATAACAGCTGCCAGAGTCCAAAGATCTCCTAGACTTGATCCATCTATGGTACTGCCCCAATATGCATAAAGAGGAACAAAGAAGGCAGCAATGCTCTGCCACAAAGTGTCAATCATTGTAAGCCAGAATAATCTATTGTTGTAGCACTCTTGTCTGTGCCCAGCCCCATAGAGCTGAGGCCACCTCTGAAGAGTATTCCTGCTCAGGTCCTTGTCAAGAATACCAACAACAATTGTAGGCACTGAGGTATAGATTACAGAATATAACATACTGCTCCACTCAGTGATTGCAGTTGTCAGAGTGAAACAAGTAAAAAGCACATACCTACACAAAATTCCAATCAAACAATTTATAAATTATAATTTAGACTCAGCACCTAATTTGGAATCAAAATTCAATTATCTTCACTCTATTATCCTTTGGTTAAAGTGCCACAACTGCATCAAGATTATTTGTATGCATAATGTACTCTTTCGAGACATACTCACCAAAATAAAATAAGGACAAACACTGCATTCCTGTAAAAATTGTACAAGATCATGTAGCCCATCCGCTGGTAATTCCAGTGCCCATGAACCAACAAAAGTGGAACTAAGAATCTGAACTGACCCATTGCAAAATCTGATGCCATTACAGCTTGCCGACCCTCTTGGCCACTGATACCAACTCCCACAGCAGCCATTTGGATCATGGAAACATCGTTAGCTCCTGTTAAGGATCCAGTGAAAGTTCTGAAGTTAGAACAAACCAACAATAAGAGTAGATAAATTTTCTAAAAATTGCTTATATCCATCTCATGTAGCATTGTATTATTGATATAAAGCAAAAAGTGAGGATGATAGTTACCATCTCCAATAGCAAGTGTCATGTCAGCAGTCCTTTTCTTTACAAGGGCAACAATTCCAGCTTTTTGCAAAGGGGCTACCCGGCAACATAGAACCACAGAACACCTACTGGCCAGTTGGAAGAGCTGCAAGTCCAGATGAGTAATGAGTCACATCAGCAATGCTAGAAAAGAGTACCTATAATAGAGCAAAGGCAGGTTGACAACTGCTTACCTTTTCTTCAAGTTCACTGTCAAGTATGTAAACAAGGCTGGTACCATCAATGATCAAGGCTATCAATGCCGAACCAGCACCAGAAGTTCCCCCAGTGTTATTATCACTCATTGCCATGGCATCATCCAACCTCCTCCTACATGATTCAGTAGAGTTACTGTTAATTTGAATTTGAGTCATCTGGTCTGTGAGAAGCCTGGAGGAGTAGCCAATTGATATGGCAGTTTCTTGCTTGTCACCAGTCAACACCCATACTTTTATTCCTGCCATTCTCAGAGATTCTATGGCTTCTGGTACTCCTTGCTGCAATTTATCTTCAATGCCAGTGGCACCCAGTATGCATAGCCTGTTTTCTACATTACCAGCAACCTCTCGAAGCAAAGCAGCCCTACCAATCAGAGAAGTGCTTGCTGCCTTAAAAGAAGAGTGCCATTGCTCAAATTCTGTGGCACTCAGTTCCCTCATGCCAATAACAAGTGTTCTCAAACCCAAAGAGGAGTAAGAACGAAGATGGACTTCAGTTGTGTGTCTTACATCCATATTCAAAGATCTGTCTATCACACTAAACATGGATGTATCAGCACCTTTTACAAAGACTTTTACAGTCTTGTCAGGGCATCCCAAAATAACAGACATCCTCTTCCGGTCACTGTCAAACTCATGCAAGCCCAAAACATTGAATCTGCACTGCCCATGTGGGGTTATTCAGAAAAGAAAAACATTTAGATTTTATGTCTATGGAAGTTAATGATTAGAGAAAGAGCAACTAATTGTAATTACGTCCACCAACACCACCACTGTAATCCCATATTCTGCTTCTAATGTCAATTATTACAAAGAAAAAAATGCATTCTTTCCATTTTACAATCAAAGAGGAAAGCATTCTCAAATATGTAGCTATTCCAAGTGATATAATGAAATAACTAGATGAAGTATAGAATTAGCCACCTTATATGGCTAGAAACTCTCAACAGAAAGAACTGAGTTGTTTTCACTTGTAGGGACAAAATTTATTTCAAACTATTAATCTTGTGTTACATGAGTAGTTTTTGGGAACCTCCTAGAATTAAATGTTTTGTGGATCCTACATAATTGGAGTAAGATGTAACCTGGAAATTTTCACACACCACTAGTAAACCAAAAGCAATCATAGGAATTGAAGGCACACTTCCCAATCATTTTGCCTACTAAACTAACACCAAAAAACAGCTGCACTGCAGTGCCATTGGTGGTTTTTATAACAATATCAAGAAAATAGGATAAGGAAATAAATAAAGAACATAGATTGGCACTTCAAATTACCTTTGCTTATCTCCTTGAACATCGATAACAATATAACCAGTAGTTCGTTTCATCAGCATGAATCCATATGCTGCAGCAGCATAAACCAATGCCTGTTCATCTGGAGACTCCCCTTGGTAATCTACCAACTTTACATGGGGATCAGATGTGTCTACAACAAGAGGAACAATTGTATTGCAAGCTGCCAGTGCAAGGAAGAAATCATGAACATGATTGTCTTCTTTAGCATCCTTTCGCATTCTTAAAAATCTCAGAAGCTCTGGATCAACCTTTACACTCATCTTTGGCCTCCAAATGTTCTCATCCACTGCATTCCAATAACCAAAAAAAAAAAAAGTAGTATATTAAATTCACTATACGTATATAAACTCAAATTTCTAAGCAGAAAATTTAGTTTTCTTTACCTTGAACAGAGTAACCATTTTGCTGATTTTGTGAAGCTCCATTCCCACCACTAAAATCTACACCCCAAATGCTTGCACACCGAAATTCCATCTTGTTCTCGGTAAGAGTACCAGTTTTGTCAGAGAACACATACTTTATTTGTCCTAAATCTTCATTTATATTCAAGGACCTGCACTGAAACCTTGAATCAGAAGCCTCATCATACATCTGTGTATCGCGAATCATGAAGTAGGCCTGACCAACACGGACAAGCTCCATAGAAATGTACAATGAAATGGGAATCATTATCTGGAACACAATAACTGCCATGAGGAATGTTAAAAACATCTCTGCTCCCCAACCATAGTAGTTGTAGTCCTTTGCTGCACCCGTAGAGTATTCCTGTTTCCCAAAAAAGACTATGTAATCTAACTCATCTCTGTGGCGCCTCAACCAAACAGCTGCACAGACAGAAACAACAGTACAGAGAGCAGCAAGAAAAAAAGAGAGTGTGATAATCTCATAGTTCATACGGGTCTCAAGCCAACTCCTCTTAGATGGGGCTCCTGAGCTGTTGAGCATAGCTTTGGTTTCTCGGCCAGCATACACAACAACCCCAAGTGCCCAAGCAGTATTCTTAAGCTCACAGCCTCGAAGAATAATATTGGAGGGTCCTAGAGACAGCAGTTTCCCATCAATTTCCAAGTTTGCAAGAAACCCATATACGTTCCTGTTGGGTTTCTCACACTTAATCAACCCAGAAAACTTCCCCTCATTAATCTTTAAAAGGGTCTCCTGTTTTGCATACCTTGTCTTCAAATTCGACTCTCCATCTAAATTAGTAGTCTGCACATAAGCAACTCCAGTTGGGTCACTTGTTGAAAGTAGAACCATATCACAAGGCATGGTTTCATTTGCATGAATTTTGATTACCTCCCCAACCTGAATGTGCTTCCATTTCTTTTGTTCAAACTGACCATTCACCAAAACAAATGCCAGCCTATTGTTCTCAATCTTATCTGACCTATGCCGCCTATAGTCCTCATATGCATCCTTAATAGCCGTAACCAGAAGGACAAAGGCCAAAGGCAAAATGGAAGCTCCCCGGCCAAAAACCGCAAGCTGGGGCAGCTGATTAAGCACAGCAATCACAAGGAAATATATATACGCTACTCTATGAAACTGCTCAAACAAGTTCTTAGGCAAGAATGTGACGATCGAGTATTTTGAGGTTCGAACCGAATTACCAGCAAACTCATATCTCTCGTTCGTCTTCCCAGGATCATTTATATAAACCAGCCTTGCATCTTCCTCGTTGATCTCCTTCTGGGACGTGCTCAAAGCCTCCGATTCAGCTCCCCGGGATCCATACCGCACGGGCCTCGATCCCGAATCACCAAAAGCTACTTCCTTTATCGAATTCCCAGCAGAAGCCTTGTATTGAAGGGAAGAAATGCTCGGTCGCGACGAAGTACTACCAGCGAATTCCGTATTGGATGGATTCTCAAGTGGGGATTTCGAATCCATCCCAGAATTCATTGTAGGATAGGTTGAATTGGGTTTCTCTATCTCAGATGAGACAGGTGGGGTATCTAGATCTCGGGTATTGAGAATTGTAGGTGATGGGATGGAAAGATGCTGTCTTGAGGCCGTGATCCACAGATCAAATGCCTCTACGGCGGCAGAATGCATCACTTAACCGATTCATGGAAAACCCAGATAGCTGGTTCAAATCAAATTCATTCCCAAAACAGAACAACAGCAACAGATCATTAGAAACAACCACAAACCCAGAAGAAAGTACAGCTGAGTAATGATGAAACCTCCTCAATAATTTACAAACAGACGACTATGAATAGATAGAAAGGAATCTTTTATCTGTGATGAAATGGCGGTCAACAGAAGTTGCTTGAAAATCAAGACATTCTAGAGCGGGAAAGGGTGAATCACCTCGAATAACAAGGAGATATTTATATTCTGTACCGAGGACCAACCTTCTTCATTGGGCTGCACTGACGCGTTTTGAGACAATGAAAGTTGGAAAAGTCATAGGAATTTTGTAGAGAGAGACAAACAGAAAATGAGAGAAATTTGTCGAGCAAGGATTATGAGAGAAGAAACGTAATGGGTGGCGGTGACAGAAAACTCAAATGGTGTTTCCTTTTTCAAATAGAAAAATTACAAGATGGCTTAGAAAAAGTTGTTTCCTTTACATGAAAATGGAGGAAAAATAAAGTTTCTTCAACAGGCAACAGGAAGAAAACCTCATGCAAAACGAGTTGGATGACGAGTTGAGGACTCTTCTAGAAGGACTGCTGGATTTTTGTTTAAAAATAATAATTGCAGCTGCAAATAATGTTGAGATGGGCCTCTGAATTCTGACTATGAGGAAACTCCAATCAATTTCCAACTTTGAAAAATTGAAAATTGAAAATTGAAAGAGAAAGTGAGAGAAAATGGGGGAAAAAGACAATTATTCATCAACTAAATCACCCAAATTCAATATTCGTTTTTGTTTTGGATTTGGCAGTTCATCATTATTTGGCTCTGACCTTCCAATATTATTTTTTTTGAACATGCGACCTTCCAATATTATAATAAATTTTTTTAACTAAAATAAAATCTTTATCTTACAATATTTGAGTTGACTAAAAATGAGTAGCTACATCTTAAAATGAATATTTTAAATTTAATTTCTGTAATAATTAGCAAATCCATGCCAAAACGTGAAGATATTATAAAAATAATATGATAGGTGCGATTAATCAAAATTTTTTTTCCAAATTTGTTAGGAAGTTATGAAAATCTTTCAACGTATGACATTGATTTATTGACAATAGCCATTTAACCATATCTTTTCTTAAAAATATTTTCATTATTTAAACTTGAAATGTCCACAACTAGAGACCAAATTATAACGGACTCGTTGGACTTAATTAATAAGAAGGTTAGTTGGGTTGAGGAAGTAAGTTTTCAATCATATGAAGTAACTAAACAGACTAACAAATACACTAATTTAAACGAACGAGGGTTGGATCTAGTGGTAAGCGACTTGTTCCAGCTTAAGTAAGGTCTTGAATTCGAGACTTGTAAACGCAGCAGCCTTCGTTGGGAGACTCAGCAACCATTTTCAAGTGCGCGACGCGAGTCGGGTCCGGATTAGTTGAGGCGAAGCCCCGGATACCGGACGGGAAACAGAAAAAAAATACAGTAATTTAATTTTTTATTATATTAAAAATCTTAATACAAATTAATGATCTTTTAATTCGAGTAGAAAAAGTTCGATTCTTTTAAATAAAATTTCAAGTTCGAAACTTATAAATAAAAAAATAGACGCTAGTAGAGCCCCTCTTCATATAAGGTATCTTTGATTTAATTTTAAATTAATTAAAATTTAAAGTGATTTCTAAATACCGAAAAGTTAGTACCAAAAAAATATCTTAGGAGAGGGCAACCGACTGGCTTGAATTGAATTAGTCCAATTTACCCAAAAGGACTTTCCCTAATTTTGCCTATCATCGACTCGTAAGCCCAGGGTTGAAATGTTGCCGTGCAAGACTAGAATTATAGACCAGGCCCATTTCCCCGACTTGTCCGTTTAGGCTAATCAAAATATGGAAACACGTAAAAGTAATACTCCTTCCATTCTGAGTTTAATAATTTTAATTTGATTTTTTAATTTTTTAAATTTAAATTTTAAATACAAATTTAATATATATAAATAATACAAATTAGTTACAATTCTAAAAAAAAATTAGAGTTTTAACTTATTTATAAAATTTAAAACTTCAATTTAAAA